TATATGTGAGTCATTTTATAACGGCAAGGGTATATGTGAGCCGTTTGTATAACGGTAATGGCATATATGAGCCACTTTTATAACGAGGGGTGTAACAGCTCCAAATGACAAAGTTGAAGGGTATATCAGACTCTTTTCCCTTAAATAATATAATGTAAAAGGTAAATTAATATTATGAAATATTATGTAAAGATATAATTGAAAAGAGAAATTAAGTAACAATGAAAACACACCAAATTAATAGTTCTATAAAATAGAAATTTTCATTATTACGTAACAACGGAATTTAACAATACAATATAATACATTTTAAGTAACATCCAAAATAAATATTATAAGTATAGTAACGATACAATATAATATAATGGGTAACATTGATCTAAACAGAGTGTAACTATTAGATAATAGTTCATATGGAAAATTCACTCCCAATGATTTAGGTGTGAAACTAAAAAATTGTAATAGGTGACATGACTCTCAAGGTGATCAGATGAGTATTTGGATAAGTTTTTCAATTTCGAAAAGTTTGACTAAAGTCAACAGGCCGGACAATGGGTTCAAATGGAATTCTGATAGTTTTGCTAGAAATTTGAAGTTGATTTCGGTCAGAATGACCTTAGATCGATATTTTAATGATTCCAATACGTTCGAAATGTAATTTTTAGTCCAATTACTTATTGAGTTTGTCTTTGTTGGATTTCAAAATGATTTTTAAGGGTAGATTCTGCAGTAGGTTTGTTTCGAAATTTTTGGTTGGCGTACGAATATCAAATTTACACCATGCATATTGTCTCATATAGATGAATGTGTCATGATAGAGGTAATTTTTTCTTCATGGCTAGAAACAAAGAGAAAATGGTCAAATAATTCTTCAATCTATTAACAAAGTTTTAACTATACACGTATTTTTAACGAGAATTTTATTATCTCTTTAAACTATTTTAAAATAGGATAAATAAGCCTTTAAGGGGTTGTTTGGTAGGGAGTATTAGGAGACATAGTCCAAGTATTATGTATGGTATTATCTAATACTATGTTTAGTAAAAAATTTGGGTCTATATATCATCAATCTAGGAATTAGTTATGCACCCTACATTGTATTAGAGGGTGTATAACTAATACCTTCCATTTGGTGGTATTAGCTCTAATACCATTGGGACTATTATAGGTAAATACAAAAATACCCCTCATACTCTTTTAATATTTTATTTATTTATTTGATTTTATATTTGATTTTATATTTATACTAATAAAGTTATTTAAATAAATTAGCTTACAAATTTTATTATTTAGATATAATTTTTTATTTCTGAAATATGAATTACTTAATCTATTTATTATTAATATAAAATATTATAATCCAACTAATGTGTTAATGTTGATGTATGAATCTAAGAACAATTCATAAGTAAAATATTGTCTCTTAATGAAAGTTCATTAAACATTACACAAGTAGTCTAAAACAAGAGTGTGTGTATATATATACACACACACATCTCGAGTATAAAAATAGTTTAATTTATTTTTTTATATTTTTATTTTATTTTATGATAAAGAGTTTTTTAAAATTTATTGATATAAAACAAAGTTCAATAAATTTTCTTTATAATCATTATAGTTGTGTGACCTTTTGAGTTATTAACTCTATTTTATTAAGATGACAATTATTTACTCTCAAATAATTTAAGTGAGAAAATAGTGAACATGACAATAAAAATTTTATTCTCCTAACTAGTTAAAAATGTTATAAAAAATAATAGTCTCCGTTAATTATCTACTTTGACTTAATTAAATGAAATACAAAATCTCATAATAACTCTAGGGTATAATTGGATAGGTTTTTTTAAAAAAACTTTTAAACCACACACAAAATTAGATAAGAAACAATGAACCAAACACTTGATAAAAATAATCCCTGCATTACTAATCCTTATGCATTTCTAATCCATCCATTACTAATCCCTGCGTTATTCATTTTCCTACCAAACGACCCCTAAGTGTTGAGTTGGTATAGCGAGCGTAGTATTTTTTTAATTCCCATTTTATTTTTCTATTTTTCTTTTTTATTTCTCTTTCTTTCTACTTATTTATCTATATAACTATACATTTTTCACCACTATCATTATTGAAGTTTTTTCAATTGATGTTTGGTATTAAAATTATCAATAACTAATGCATTTTATGAATAAACATTTTTTCAATAGACTTATTTAGTATTCTAACAAGTTAAATATATAAATATATTTTTTTAAAACACACTCATTAATTCATTTTTTTAAAAGTCATGGTCAAGAATAACAAAAACATAGTGAAATAATTGTATATTTAAAAAGTATTTTCAAACTTAGTAAAAAGAACTAAAACAAAATATTTTTTTCTACATTTTTAAAGAAGCATCCTACATGTTCTCCTAAAATCCATGAAGAATCAAAATTAAAAACTCAAATTATAAATTAATCATGAAATTTTAGAGGGAGAAAGAACAAAAAATGGGGAAGAGAGAAAGATTTCTCAAATTGGTCTCAAATTGATCTTATCATCCGCGATTATTTTAAGTTGTGGGGTGAAATCTTTCGGGATGATCTGATCTCAAATATTCATGATCCAAATAATGTGTATTTAAAATTATCTAAGGAAGAAAATCTAACGAAATGTAAAAAAAATTATTGAAAAAATTATTGAATTGGTTGGATAAAAAATTTGATTAGATGAAAGTATGACTTGAGTTTCGTTTTTATAAATTATTAGAGATGTAGAAATTTATTGAGGTAAAAAGTGGTGTTTATTATAAGTTAGGGTTGAAGAAATGATTGGAGAAGAAAGTAAGAGGAAAGAGGAGAACTTTTTTTTTAAAAAAAATTATTAAATGATAAAATACATGTGTCAAGTATGTGTATTTAACCACAAGACACATTCTTGGTATAACATTTTAGGGAGGAAATAATTTCATTAAATAATTCAAGGGTAATAACGCCCTCATGAAAAACAAGTGTGTAGTTAAAAATTTGATAATAGATTGTGGGATCATTTGATCATTTTCTTTAAGAACATATGCGTATTATATAATTATACATGTTGATATCCTTTGAATGGGTGAAATGTCACGATGACTCAATTAAAAAATGATATCAATTTTTAAAAGAATTTTAAAAGTGAAAAGGGTTAAAGAAGTCGCCACCTAATTTTTTTTAGAAAAACTAGGAAACTGATTAACAAATTAACTTACAAGAAAGTCTACGAAATCAATTGATTCTGGGTAAGGGTTCAAGTTATTTCAACGGAAAAGGGTTAGGCCTTCGAAATCCACAAATATGGTTCCTCACTAACTTCATTTTTATCAAATTGAGGAAGAGACAACAATAATATACAAGTAATATAAACATGCAATATACAAGTAGCAAGTAAAATAATAACGTAATAAATGTCCTAAGGTTTGCCTAACGCCTATATGTACATATAATGAATAAAAAGAAATAATTCGAACTCTTCGAATAGCTTCAATGGAAGCACCTTCGAGGTACCTGTAAAGACACTTAGTAAAAGTGTTAGTAATAAATAAATATTATTAAAAATGAATAAACAAAATAATAACTTAAAAAAAAAATTTCGTCTTATGAACATGGGAGACCTTGAAAATCGACAGTAATTTCTTCATCAACCATTTTAACATATAAAGAATATAAACATAAACTAAAATTCCGTCTTTCAACATTGAGGAGGCCTTCAAAATCGACAAAAATTTATCCAAATTTATGTAAAACTTGCTCTAATTAGCTAATAATATCTACTAATAATAACATTTTAAAAAGTGCAAATATCATCACAAGCTCACATCCAAAGTGAAACAATTACATAATAAAATAAAATAAAAAGGAACAACATTGAACCAATAATATAACTAAAAACAATAGTTATAACAGAATAACATTAAATTTTGTTTATCATTAGGATGATAGATGAAACGAAAAAATAGTTTAAAATAATTTGAGCAATACAACTTGATCAGAAATAAATAAATAAGAATTACCTAATCAAACGAAACCAAACATAAAGAAAAAAAATCAACTAAGGAGTAAATAAGCATCACCGAAGAAAATAAAAGAACAAGAAAAATAGCCCAATGTTGTAAAACATGCCACATGGGCCCCAAACAAGTGAATGAGTTGCATCACTTGTGCAACTCATCACTTGGCCAATAATAGGCCAAAGGATACATCACTTGGCCAATAATGGCCAAAGTGATACATGTGTAAATAAAAGTCATGGCTATAAATAGCCATTATACATGTTGATACAATATATACATTTTATGAAATATATTACTTCCTAAATTTTCCTTCTTTAAGTATATTAATTTTAGTAAGTTCTTTTATAACACGTTATCAGCACGAGTCTCTGCCAGTTCAAGTAAAGACTTTAAAAGCCTCGAAGGTATAAATTTCCTTTTTCTTAATAATGTCTAATCTCTCTAAACTTGAATTTCTTGCTCTAGACATATCGGAAAAAAGCTATCTATCATGGGTACTCGATGCAGAAATTCATCTTGATGCGATGGGTCTAGCAGACACCATCCAAGAAAATAATCAAGCATCGAATTAAAATCGTGCTAAGGCGATGATATTTCTCCGTCATCACCTTGATGAAGGTTTGAAAATGGAATATCTCACTGTTAAGGATCATTTGGTGTTGTGGAACAATTTAATAGATAGATATGACCACCTGAAGTTGGTCGTCCTTCTACAGGCACGTTATGACTGGATCCACTTGAGACTTCAAGATTTTAAATCTATCAGTGAGTATAACTCTTCCATGTTTAAAATTATCTCACAATTAAAATTATGTGGAGAAAATATCACTGACCATGATATGCTGGAGAAAATGTTTTCCACTTTTCCTGCCTCGAGTATGCTTCTGCAGCAGCAATACCGTGAAATGGGATTTAAAAAATATTCTGAATTAATTTCACATCTCCTTGTTGCTGAACAACATAATGACTTACTGATGAAAAACCATGAAAGTCGACCTACTAGTTCTATGTCATTTCCTGAAGTAAATACGACAAATTTTCACCAATCTAGGCGTGAAAAAAGTCGTGGCCCCAGTCGTGGCCGTGGTCGTGGTCGAGGAAAAAATTTCAATCATGGTGATCGTCTTGCACTAAATAATAATCTTCAACACAAGGAGTGTAAAAAGAAGAATGAAAAACATGATGTAGTACAGAAGAAAAATTCAGACAACAAATGTTATCGATGTGGAGGAAAAGGATATGGGTCACGTACCTGTCGTACACCAAGACACCTGGTTGAGCTATATCAAGCTTCCCTGAAGGAGGTGAAAAATAACGCTGAAGCCAACTTTATCTCGGAAGATACTATTGAACCCATGCATCTAGATGTAGCAGATTTCTTTGAGAATCCCGAAGGAAAGATAGATCACCTGATAGGTAATGGATCTGTGATAATGTAAATATATTTCATTTTCGTCGTTTGTATGAACTAGTATGAATATGTTTTCCTAGACTTCTAAATAACTAAAAGGTTGTGTAATGTTTTTGTTTAGTAATAATATTATAATGTTTATTTCGTTTATATCTGTCACGACCCAAAACGAGCCGCGAGTGGCACCCACACTTATCCTACTATGTGAGCAAACCAACCAATCTGAACCCCAACATTTTAACCATAATAAACAGAATACAACGCGGAAGACTTAAACTCATTAATGAAAATCAATTAAATAACTTCTAAAAACTCAACAACTATTATTATCCCCAAAATCTGGAAGTCATCACCACAAGAACATCTATGATCAAATTACTAAACTAAGAGTATTCTAAGAAGCTAAAATAAATAAAAAGCTAGTCCATGCCGGAACTTCAAGGCATCAAGACATGAAGAGGAAGACCCAATCCAAGCTAGAAGCTTTAGCTCACCCTGAAATCCGGTATAATGAAGACTGACTAGAGTTGCGGTTGACTTGAAGACGACGGTACGTTTGCTGCACTTCACAATAACAAAGAAAGAAACATACAAGTAGGGGTCAGTACAAAACACGGGTACTGAGTAGATATCATCGGCCAACTCAAAATAGAAAACAATATATATATCAGATAATATCATAACATCAACTACAATACTCAACATGCGGCATTTACAATTACCATAGCCCTTGGTCACAACACCAAGCACGTCAATGAGGACTCACGCCTCCCCATCATACTCATTTGGGAATTAGGTTCATTAAATTGAGTATATTGACATCTTTCAAGATTCATTATCTTTATTTCTCTCGTGTCGGAACGTGACACTCCGATCCCCTAGTACTACGTGTCGGTTCGTGACACCCGATCCCCTATTACTACGTGTCGGTTCGTGACACCCGATCCCCTATTACTACGTGTCGGTTCGTGACACCCGATCCCCTATTACTATGTGTCGGTTCGTGACACCCGATCCCCTATTACTACGTGTCGAATCGTGACACCCGATCCCCTATTACTACGTGTCGGTCCGTGACACCCGATCCCCTATTACTACGTGTCGATTCGTGACACCCGATCCCCTAACCTCATTCTTTTAGTTCATCAAGCCTTCTTTTATACCAAGGCATCATCAGTAACAAGAGATTTTCAAGATTTATGATTCAATAGCTTCATCATGCTTATTTCATCACAATTATATCATCACATCCATGCAAACATACAATTAAGCATATAGAAGGGTTTACAACACTACCCAATACATATCATTCGCTATTAAGAGTTTACTACGAATAACATAAAAATCATAACCTACCTCCACCGAAGAATTGTGATCAAGCAAGCTAATCCTCAAATCTTTGCTTTGTTCTTCGTTTCTTCTCTCTCTCGACCGTTTCTCCCTCTCTTTATGTTCTTTTCTTTTTATTATTCAAATC